TTCTGCCACCTGTTTTTAATAATGGGGTCTGGGTTTTTTGTCTTCAATGAGAGTCTGTACCCTAGTTTGACGGTGTAGTCTTGAATTGGGATTTTGGCCTTGAAGTTGCTGTTATTATTGGGTTTCCATGCCCAYTCAGCGGGATCAAATTCTAAGGATCGGACTGCAGTGTCAGGTCTGAAAATTGATTTTGGCCATGTGCCTAGGACCCTAACTTTCCTCAGAAGGAAGGATTCCAGTGTGGAGGATTCAACATCATGGTTCAGGATGGAAGGCATGTCAGTGCTGTTGTAAGAAATCGGGAAGGATAGGAAGGATGCTCTAGTGGCAGAGCCTTGCTGTATATGGGAGAATTGGAAGGCTCTAGCGGGGTTAGAGTCTTGTATCATGAGGCCCCATTCCCCTGGTCTCCACGGCTCATCTTTAATCAGGATGTCTTTCCACTCTTGTGGAATACGACTAATTATGTACTGGAGATTTGCTCCTCGTCTGTGGCATCCTTTCAATCTGGCGCTTGCTTCTTGTTCCGTTATCCATTCTTTCCTTTCCTCCTTCCATAGGTGGTCTATCTTCCAGATACCATAGATCGGATTGTCGGCCTCGTTTGTTACCCATTCATTCCCAAAAAGTGGTTGCCTTAAGGTGGGGGCCACCGATCTGATACTATCTAAGGCCATTTTATTCCAGGCGCTGTCCGGGTGCATCAACAATTTGATGATCCATTTGATCTGTAAGGCCTTGGTTTCCGTTCCTGGGTCAATAATGCCTAGGCCCCCGTTACGTGGTCTCCTTGTGACATAATGCCAGGCTATCTTGGAAATGCAGTTGTCTCTGTTGGGGTCGCCTGTCCACAGGTAACATCTCGCTCTGTGATTTAGTTCTTTAACCGAGTTGTCGGGGACTGTCCAAATGGAATCTATGTACCACATCATTGAGAAGATTGAGGTGTTGAGGACTAACGCTCGGCCAATCAGGGATGTAAAAGCGTTTCCCCATCTCCCCATTTTATTAATCTGATTTGCCAACACAGCGGGGCCCATTTGTGGCGCCAGGCCATCTCTCGTCATTAGGATGCCTAGATAGCGAGTTGGGGATGCCTGTGTCTGCCATGTCATCGCCGCCTCCTCGCCTTGAAGTGAGAGGGGTTCTTCTTCGGAGAGCCACCAATCGATTGTCTTCCCCCAGTTGATTCTCATTTCTGATGCTAGTTTGAAGGCATCCATTGCCTTGACTAAAGTTCTGAAGGAGGAGTCTGAGGCCCTGATCAGGACTGTCAGATCGTCCGCAAACATAATAGCTGTGGGGAAATCCATCTGGTGGGCTGAGCCTACATCAGTACTGGCCAATCTCTGTATCGATGGGTCTTTTCGCAGAAAGGAGGCGATTGCCTCCATTACAAAGAGAAAGATTGAAGGGGCCAGTGGGTCCCATTGGCGGACTGAGCGGGATATCGGATAGGAGTCTGATAGGAGTCCATTTACTTGGACGCAACCTACCGTGTCCCTGTATAGTATCCTAACCCATTTCCTGAAGCTTGGTCCTACTCCCATCCTTTCCATGCTTGCTTCCATAAAGTCCCAGTTCACCTGATCGTAGGCTTTTTTGAAGTCGAAGAAAAGGATGGCAGCGTTTATCTTTTTTTCTCTGATTTTTCTTACCGATTCGTTCAGTGTCATCACATTATCCAAAATATACCGACCCGAATGAAACCTGTTTGGTCGATATGGAAACATTTGTTGGTGACTTTGATGATCCGATTGGACAGAGTCTTGGCCAAAATCTTGTATTGGAGAGTCAGGAATGAGATAGGTCTATAGTTCTTAATGTCATTTTTCTCGCCTT